ACAAAAATATGTCCAGAACTTTACAGTACGACAAAACGATACGTAAGTTACAAAAATCAGAAGAAACAAAAATAATTTTTCCCATGTTATTATTATGGAAAATCGAAAAGTGCGATGCGGAGCATCTTAATTTTGAAATTTAGAGTTCATCTTTTCACAGGCTTATTTTTATACCTAAACGAAACTTTTGAGTGGTTCCGAAAAAAAATAAAGAAAAGTTTTTTTTTGAATCACCCTAATATACATGTATACAGGGTGTTATGTAATTAATGTTATATATTAAAATACTGAATACCTTTTGACATAAGGAATAAAGGAAAAATATTTTAAAAAGCATTTTTCCAAAGATAAAGAAAAAATATGCATTAGAAGTTTTTTATATTTTTTGTGATACGCCACTGGTTACACACTTGTTTATCTCTGCACACCTGTATTTTGTGAGTACATAGATACCAACCAACAAAGTAGCTATGCGTTGCCAGATGTAAAAAATTGTTACTAAAAATTTTTCTTGCAAAAAATAAATAAAAACTCAATAAATACAAAAGTTTTATGCCCTTAAAGCTCTAATACCCTTCTGTATTTATTTACTGATCCAGCTATTAGCTTAAGCAATGATTAGAAAATTTAGTACCTTTGAAATTTGAAATCCATAACCACAAAATTAATTTTTTCATCAGTTTTTTTCTCTGTTTACTCAGATGAAATTGGGACCAGTTCACAGGTTAAACTTTAAACATTTAATTTGTGTAAATAAATCCAAAAGCACTTCCCTTAGTTAAGATATTTACAATTTGAAAACATAACCTAAAATTTAAAAGAAATGCACTAGATTCTGTCATAAAAGTTGGCAGATTTTGTTTGAATTTACCTTCAGTACAAAAATGAAATAACCAACAATTAATAAAAACGCCAAATTGACAATTTGCATTGTTAATTTTGTCATTTTTGTAATTAAGCTAAATTTAAACAATGTTTGTCAACTTTTTTGAGAGATTTTGGAAACACTGTTACCAACCATAACATAATAAATCCACCAGATTAACCTAAAGTTCCTAGTCGATCAGTGGCGTACTTTTTGGTAGGATAAAGGTTATTATAAATTATTTTTAGACTTTGGAATGGACCCTAAGGAACAACCCATTTTAATATATAACATTAATTACATAACACCCTGTATATTATATATGTATATATTATATAGTTTTTTGATTTGGAAACATCTTAAAAATTAAAAATTACCTGCTCATGAGACACCTATCAACAATATGAGAAATATTTTTTTAACCACCTGAGAGCACGGTCTTATATAAGACCGTGCCTGAGAGTCATGATGACACTTCACGTTAACCTTAAATTTTAAAAACCGTATCACACAATTCAATTTTACGCAAATTCGGCACAAGAGTCGTGCACTTTCAAATGATTGGCACACTTATAAACTAGATATTTTATTAACATTTTGTCCATGATAGTACAATAAATAAACGAAAATAATTAAGACTCCTAATCAGCACCTTGTGCTGGTGACGGAGACTGATTTGTGATTTTTTTAATACTTTGTAGTCATTCAAGAAATTCTTTTTTAAGTTTTCCTTTAATAAATTAATATTTTTTTAAATATTTTTGATTGATTGGGGTAACATGTTATAAATTTCAAATTCACTACGATTTATTGGATTATTCAAACCTATATTAGAATGTGTTTTTAATAAGTAAGTAAATTTTGCATTGATTTCTAGTATTATGATCATGAATCTCTTTGAATAATATAAATGTATGATTAGTTTTTTGGTTTTTATTGATGTTTTATGTACTAATTTACATTGTTCAATTTTTTTACTGTTTTTAGTGGTTTAATGGTTAATTTTAATATTAGTATTTGATAAATACGATATATAAATTGACTGCATTATTTTATTAGATCAAGTATCTTCTTGTCAAACAGTTTTCTGGCAGACTCAAAATTCATTTTATCAGCCATATTTACTTGGCACTATTAAATGTTGACATTTGGGAAAATTTTTGATTACTCAAAGTATTACATTGTATTACTTAACTATCACGTGATATAACTTGGTATTACGTGCAATTACATAATATAACTTGGTATTACAATAAAATGTAATAGATTACATCCAATTTGTAAGCCTATTTCGCCGGTTGTTTACATACGAAGGCGTAGAAGGGCCAACAACAATATTTTTTTTTTAATAAAATTTTTAATCGACAATTGTCGATCGGACCGACAATTGTCGATCGGACCGACAATTGTCGATCGGACCGACAATTGTCGATCGGACCGACAATTGTCGATCGGACCGACAATTGTCGATCGGACCGACAATTGTCGATCGGACCGACAATTGTCGATCGGATCGACAATTGTCGATCGGATCGACAATTGTCGATCGGACCGACAATTGTCGATCCGATCGACAATTGTATATATACAGGGTGTTTTACATTCGTGGCCCATTAAAAGTTTCTGGGAAACGAAAAAAGATATCGATTTGAAATTTTAAAAGCGTTTATAATCCATTTAAGTCTATTTTTCTATAATAATTTGAACAAAATGCCACTTCCGGTTAAACCAGATCAACTTAAATATTATTAATATTATTTTAAAAAATTTCGAATTGTCGATCCGATCGACAATTGTATATATACAGGGTGTTTTACATTCGTGGCCCATTAAAAGTTTCTGGGAAACGAAAAAAGATATCGATTTGAAATTTTAAAAGCGTTTATAATCCATTTAAGTCTATTTTTCTATAATAATTTGAACAAAATGCCACTTCCGGTTAAACCAGATCAACTTAAATATTATTAATATTATTTTAAAAAATTTCGAATTATTAATATTTAAACACTTAATTAGTTAACAAATTGTTTATAACAACCTGAAAAATTGACGCGATTAAATTTTACAAATTACGTGGTAACCATAGAAACCAGTCTCTGATAGAAACCGTCAACTCACCCGTCACAGGTTTCGTGATACAAAATATTATTTAAAATTTTAAAAACTGTTTAATAGGTATCTCCAAAATTATTAACTTTAGGTATAGAGAATGGTAACATCAATCGAGTTTTTTAATTTACTATTTGAATATGTAAAAACATAAAAAGTGTTACATTTGAAATAAAAAAAGTTATTAGCCTTCAATTTGGCCTAATTTTTTTAAGATTAAAAAAATTCAAACCCTATATTTGCAAACCTCATAACAAAAAAGTTATAGGCTATTTTTGATTGACGCGCATTTCTTAAATTTTAACGAAAAATAATAATAATTCAAAAAATATTCACTTCAAATTTCAAATCAATATCTTTTTCGTTTCCCAGAAACTCGATTAATGTTACCATTCTCTATACCTAAAGTTAATAATTTTGGAGATATTAAACAGTTTTTAAAATTTTAAATAATATTTTGTATCACGAAACCTGTGACGGGTGAGTTGACGGTTTCTATCAGAGACTGGTTTCTATGGTTACCACGTAATTTGTAAAATTTAATCGCGTCAATTTTTTAGGTTGTTATAAACAATTTGTTAACTAATTAAGTGTTTAAAAATTAATAATTCGAAAATTTTTAAAATAATATTAATAATATTTAAGTTGATTTGGTTTAACCGGAAGTGGCATTTTGTTCAAATTATTATAGAAAAATAGACTTAAATGGATTATAAACGCTTTTAAAATTTCAAATCGATATCTTTTTTCGTTTCCCAGAAACTTTTAATGGGCCACGAATGTGAAACACCCTGTATATATACAATTGTCGATCGGATCGACAATTGTCGATTTGATCGACAATTGTCGATCCGATCGACAATTGTCGATACGATCGACAATTGTCGATCGACAATTGTCGGTCCGATCGACAATTGTCGATCCGATCGACAATTGTCGATCCGATCGACAATTGTCGGTCCGATCGACAATTGTCGGTCCGATCGACAATTGTCGGTCCGATCGACAATTGTCGGTCCGATCGACAATTGTCAGTCCGATCGACAATTGTCGATTAAAAATTTTATAAAAAAAAAAATATTGTTGTTGGCCCTTCTACGCCTTCGTATTTACACCTCGAGTAAATGTGAAAATTATTTTATTCTCAATACAAAAATACAAAATTATTAAACAGTTTCTTCACGCTAATCTTTCAAGGGTTTTATGCACGTTTGTACCGACCTTTTGATTTCGCCAGCAATACACTTGTATTTGCCGATACGGTATTAAAAATTTCGGGTACCCATAACACATCCTCTTCACTTTCACTGTAAAAAACCTTTGTTATATAGGATTTTTTCAAGAGATAAATTTCAATCTTTACAGAAAAATTCAAAGATTACTTTATTTTTGTATAGATGTCGCTCTATACAAATATTTAAATTAATTAGTAATAAATTGTTTCTTTATACCTACCTTATAGGTATTTGTCGTAGAAAAAGTATAGTAACTCGTTTATAAACTATTCTAGATACTCATTTTATTAAACACTCGCACATCATGTTGCCAACCGCATGCATATTGTTAAAGTAATCTTAAAATGCGTCTTCTCATTAGATAAGTTCTAAATTAATACCATTATACACAAAAAATACAAGTACTGTATTATTTTAAAAAAATAAGACGAAATTAGCTTTAAAGTAACAGATAGATAACTTTAATTATTTGAATTAGTGGGGCATAGTGCATTATGCCTGAACTATTTAATAAGACTTGAAATAATATAAGCAAGGTAAATATATTATTTTTAAGTTTAAAAACTTAATGTTTAAGCTCTTATATCTTTTTAAATAATAAAGGTATAATTTTTAAACAATTTTCTGGAATTCCTGGGGGTCTGTAGATCATACACCTTTATGTGGTGCGCGACCCTGTATTTCTATTTAAAATTGTGCTGGTTAAAACTGTATAAACACTTTTTAAACTTGAAAGAATCTAGTCAGATCCAGCCTTGTGTTTAAAAATGCGTCATTTTTATCACCCTTACCTTTTTGTTAAAGTATAGGAACCCTTGCGGACAATTAACATTATTAAAAGCAGCAAAACTGAGAACCTCCCCGTCGATATTCATGGAATGGGTTCTAAGTTCGCCTCTTGTGGTCAAAAATATCCAATGCGGATTGGAACCGCAAATGAAAACGCCATCGTACCCTGCTATGTTATTGAAATGCCTCATCTTCACAATTCTATCCTGAATCGTGGCATACTCCGAACTGTCTGAATCCTGTCTTCCCTCCAAGCTTGGCGTGTAAATTAGATTGTGTTTCATTTTTTTGAAACGCAACTTTAGGTTTCCCCTTGTAAATCTGAACACCTCGTAAATGTACAAGTCTTTTTCGAGCCTTACTAATAGTATAGGCCTACTGCCATTCGTACCAAGACCTACCATTAGGATTTCCTTTACTTGGTAGTCTTTTTGGATTTGGGTTTCATTAGCGCTAGCTGAGTTTATTTGTACTGACTCTAGGCTGTCTACTAATACCTAACAAAAAGAGATTAAATAAAAAATTTAGTAAAAACTTGTTTGGTAGTATTCTTTACCTTGCATCCTAAACATAAATTGGTGACATAAAAACTGAGCTTAAAATCGGGTAAGGAATAAATTTCCAAGTTGGAATTCTCCCTCACAACAAAAAGCCAGTAGGAGGGCCTCGTGTTGGTCATATATTTTTTCCACCAGTTGTAATAAACCTTAGGTTTTGGGGCCGGTGGATTTAAGGAAGGCATTTTGAAATCGGTTTCTCCGTACAAGAGATCGTCTTCGTTTTCCGTCTCAGTCTTCATTTCGATATCGCCCAACACTTGTTCCGGGATGTGGGTAAATTCTTCCGGAATTTTGTTCGAAAACATACCGGAAGTGTCTTTGTATAGGCATACGTTTGTCACAGGAGGATTCTAAAACAATTTGTTCTTAACCTGTCCAGTTTTTAAGTTATTATATTTACATTTGACAGTGTGGATTTACTGATAACCATTTTGGCTGTACCTCTAGCTTCTCTTAACATAAGAGTTATAACTTGACCATCAGTTGTTAATAAAGAAATATAGGGGTCAGCACAGGAAGCGTGAACGATTGCTGAACCTAAGTCTAAAGGAATGTGTTGGATTTGATTTGCTCCTAAAATGTTTAAATTTTTTAAACTTACTGGCTACTAAATGTATTTTGTTATTTTACCAGCTAATAGTCTTACTGCGGTGGTCGTTATTTGAACAATATATTTATTATTGCCTAAATTGGCTGCATATATCGTTGGTCCACTTGTTGCAAAACCAGTGTTATCAATTTCATTTATTTCTTGGCCTGTTTGAAGAATCTGAACAAAAAGAAACAAATAAATTGAACAAACTGACAAATTTGTACTAAAGCGATATAGACAGGTATAAATTGTATTAATTTAAGTACCTATTAAAAGTAATAAATAGAAGGAAAAAAATAAGATTTTTATACTACACGTTTATCTACTCCTACATTGACGAGCTGTGACTTTATGGCGTTTTAGTCACGGGCTAAAGTTAGCAATCGTCGATCATTTTAGTAATGGGCTGAAGTTGGCTTTAATATAAATTGCGAAAGAGTGAAGTTAAATTCGTCAGAAGCCAAGTAAATTTAAGTACAATTAAAATTGGCTTTAAATTCTTCTTTGTGTTCGTCGTAGATAAAGTATAGTATGTACTATATATACTCATTTTATAAACTTATAAACACTCGCTCGCAAGCCTTGCTTGCTCGTGCAGCAACAGTCGTGCATAGGGTTACCACCTCTCCAGGCCACCAGATTTTCCAAACTAGAGTTTTTTTGTATTTGAGTGGAAAACAAGGGAATACATCTGAATGGTCCAAAAAACGATTTATATAAGTAGTCGAATTTGACATTTTAACGATTACAACCGATATTCTTTTTTTGGACCAGCACATTGTTTTCTTTGAAGAAAAAAATTATCTAAACCGGAATAATGAACTTATTATTCACGTTGTAAAGCATCAGTTTGGCCAATTTATATTTTCACTGTAATTTGAAGCAATCGGGTTTTAAATTGGAAAAAGTGAGGCTATAATATTTTTTTTTATTAATAAAAATTACTTATGCTGGATTTATCCAGCACACATTGTTAACATTAAGCTAATTAAAGGTGGGTATATTATGCAGCAGTAATTCAGTAAAGTAATTTTGACATCTAACATTTTTGGTTTGTTTGGATTTTGTTTTAACCCCGTTTTAGCATCTGTTAGGTAAAATTAATAAAAACTATAAACTGCACGTCAAACAATACACCAAAGAACACAATCATTGAACAAAAAATGAATGATTCAGTAGCACTTTTAATTTTATTTTCGGGTATGTTGGCATTACTAATACGGTTTATTTAAAAATTGCGCCGCAACCTGCGCAAGAGGAATAAAAATTAACATTATTATTAAGAAGATACAAGTTGTCCATCTCTTAAGCCCGCTGCACAACCTCCCGGTAACGGGAACAGGAAAATAAACGGTAAAGGTGGGAGAGACTCAGCGAACCCTATCTATCAACAGTGTTTTTTTAGTCTCACCCACCTTTATTGTTAGGATTCCCGTTCCCGTTCCCGTTACCGGGCTATTGTGCAGCGGGCTTTAATGTTAACCTAATGGAAAAGTTAATGTTAATGTGTTGTCTTAAAAGCTTCCAATGGATTACGTTCATTTAACTTCTTAATGATAATGTTAACTTAATGTTAATTTGTGCTGCCTTAATCCAGCATTAATTGGAGTGGAAATAAGCTGGTATTAGTAATAATATACCATTGTAAAACTAGTTACATAATAATATAAAAAATGCCTCTGTAATGGTTTAGCAAAACTAAATAAATCAATTATTAGTAGGTATTTTATGAAAGGACTATTTATTGATGGTTATTAATAGCCCATTAAATGGGAGTTAAATACACTAATTTTTCTAGGACTCAACATAAAAACACTGAAGTAATTACTTGTCAAAATTAATAAATATTAGATCTGTCAGATGTCCAAGGCAATAGTTGATATTGACAAAATATTGCCGTGTATTGCATTTCTATTGGTTAAAAACTTGTGTCGTAATGAAAAATTTGTATCATAATAGATCATAGATCGTACAGGTAGAAAATGTCTAATAAACGAATTAAAGTATGGGAATATAGAACAATTAGTTAGTTTTCCTAAACCACAAGGGATACATTTTTAAAGTGAACGTAAATTGTTGAAGGTATCAGAAAAAATTATGGATTAATAATACTTATTCATTTATTACACATTTTACACCTGAATTATATCTCAATAGAAATGTGATACACGGCAATATTCTGTCAATATTGGCAGAACTAATATTTTTAATTTTGTTACATAAAGAGATTTTAAACTTTGAAATTTTTTTAAGTAAAAATTAGTAGGTACAGTAGAAACCACCAATATATGAACGTGACTCATCGGGTGCCGAACATATCTCAGCATATCTAGCAGTAATGTTTTACTTGTCTTGTAAATTCGATGCAGCGGTAAATGTACTCACACGTAGGTTTTTAAGCATCCGGTCTAAAATGCGCCATCTGTGATGTAAAACTGCCTAGGTGTTCGACAAAGATGGACATATGACGCGTGTCCTAGCTTGTTACTTAATTTTGTTGGAATTCAGTAGAGCTCGTGTTTTAGGCAATTTATTTTATTTTATTACATAGTAAGGCAACCAACTCTACCGTCGGCCATTTGTTTTTATATGTCATATGATCTTTGTTTTTGCATATCGTGTTTCTGCTGTGTGTTTACGGATTAATAATCGTTTTAAACGTTGTAGTGGCAGTGGTTTATATTATGTAACACAGGTAGATGTCGTATAAAAATCCTTACCTAGAAATTCTAGGCTAGAATACAAAAATATTTTTATTATATAAATTTTGTACTAGTATTAGTTTAATACATTCTGAAGAAGCTACTGTGTACCGAAACAATTGTCAATATTTAATAAATTTCGTAAAACTAACACAAGTTGTTTTTATATCCACACAATTTAAATATCTTTCACTTTGTACCTGACCTGCGTAAACATTTTTGTTTTTTTGTCACCAATTCTGAAATATTTGCGTTTACAGTTAAAAGAATAGTATATTCTGTAACAAGTTTGGAATGCGGCATATTCCGCTCGAGTGAAAAGTTTGTCACACGAGCCGAAGGCGAGTTTGACGGTTTCACGAGAGGGGAATATGCAATTCCAAACGTGTTTCAGACTATACTTTTTCTACGTTTCCAAAAAATACCATAGACAAAGAATTTAATTGGAAGAAAGTGAGGTTGGATCGGTCTAAAAATTTGTTAGATATTAAAAACAGAGATGTCGCCACGAGTGAACATTCTGTCATCAGATGATAAAATATTTCATTAAAGTTAAAAGAAAAGTTTATTTATTAATTAGTTTCTAAGAAAATTACATTTTATTTAATTATCGTAGATGTTAATTATTAAAATTTAAGTTTAAAAGCAAATATATCAGAAGTATAGCAACCAACATTACACTCAAGATTTTTTACAAATACCCGTTATACAGCACTGCACTGGACCGTGACCTTCGATAGATTACTTCGTACGATTGTGCCTGATGAGTCACGTTCATATATTCGTGGTTTCTACTGTAAACATGTGCAATAGTGAATGTTAATTTAAAAATTTAACTCTGCCACAAAATTATGAAAACATTTTAGAATAAAACTGTTAATTTTTTACTTTATTATGATAGTCGTAGAAAAGTAGTCTATGCAACTAGCACTTATTTTCGGCTAATGTCATAGTTCCCATGCTCATATCTTAATAGCCATCATTAAATGGTCGTTGCATAGTATACTATTTATAAACAAGGAATTTTAATAAAATGTTCTTACCATTGTTCCTTCTTCTTGGCTTAAGATCAAAAATGCATGCTTGTCATCCCCATGCCTTACGGTCCACATGTTAGAATATCCAGGTAAAGTAAAAGTGGTCACAATCTGTGGCCTTATAGATCTTTGCAGAACGCACAGGGCCCCGTTCTTACCGTAGCCGGAAGTGGTTACCAACTCGAGATCCATATCCGGATTGCTCGCGAACTCTTCGCTATGAAACGCCGGCTCTCCGATGGAAATATTTCCGCATGGGCCGATGTTCAGCAAGCTGTCGCACACCTCGAACACGTAGCTCGTGATCTGGAGACTCGCCTGCTTCTGGTTGCCGTACACTTCGAGCTCTTCGGGATCACGGATGTCTAAAACGTCGGTGGCCATGCAATCTTCCAGGTTGTCCAGTTGTCGCTGTTCTTCTTCGGATTTCGATCGTTTCGCCGAAGGTTCGTCGCTTTCGTCCAGCGTTATCACTTCATTGGCTTTTTCAGTGAAACGCAGCAAAAGGGAGTTGCCGAGTCGTGAACCGAGGAACAAAAAGTTGTTTTCGCAAACGCAAATCTAAAAAAATAAACATATATTTTACCTCGTAGCTACGCGTGGTGGAGAAAGGGGACAACCCTTTAATTTATCGATTTGCCTTAAATTGTGTCAACTGTATACCAATATATTTGAGTTTTTAACCATTTTTGGTTTTACTTTAAATGCAAATAATTTTATACTTTTATTCATTATACAATGTTTACTATAAATATACGCTTAGGTACCTTTTCTCGGAGCGCGGCACATATAATCTACAACATTCTTTGAAGGTTTCACGAGAGCGGAATATGCAATAAATTTAGACTACATTTTTTACGCTGATGAAAATTAAATAATAATAATAATAATAATAAAATACTTTATTCATCCCAAGAAACAATGAGAACTTGTTTATATAGGGCATCTCTATACACACGATACATATTTAATATTGAATACAATTACAAATTTTGAACTTAACTGACTACATATTACCATTATCACATTTATAAATATCACATTTCAGTTACAATCTGTACAGATATACTAACAAAATAAATAAACTTATTATACAAACACACTTATGCTTATTATAACATATGTACATGTTGGATACATGCATCCAACATACTCCACAAACATTTATATTTATCTTGGATGAAAGAAATTTTTTAAAGCCTTAACATTATTTAAGGATTTGACATCGTCAGGCAAGGTATTATATGTAATTAAGCCTCTATACAAAATAGAGTTTTGTCCATACCTGGAGCCAATTTGTATCAAGTCTAAACTATTAACGTTTCTGGTATTGTGGCTATGTATTTGATTTCTAAACATTACTTTTAGATTAGAATGTTTTTTATTATTTACAACATTCTGTATAAAGGAACAAACTTGATATTTATAGATATTGTCCAAAGGCATAATGTTAAAGTTTCTATACAAATCCTCTGTATGATATCTAACGGGTAAGCAATAAAGATTTTTAATTGATTTATTTTGAAGTGTCTTGATTGGTTTTAGTACTTTTTCATGTGTTGAGTACCATATGGCCGCCAAATACTGAAGGTGGGAGTGAATAAGTGCATAGTAGACTGATCTTAAATACTTCTTAGGGAGTGAACCATTTAATCTGTGTAAAATACCTATTGGGCCAGATATTTTTTGTCTTATTTTTTTAACGTGATCAGAGAATGTTAATGTTTCATCAATTATAAGACCTAAAAACTTTATATTTGAACTATACTTTAAAACACCACCCTCAATATTTAACGGTCGACTACTTGGTATTTTATGCTTGTATATAAACATATACTTGGACTTTTCCACATTTAAAGTGAGTTTATGTGATTTTAGCCATCTAGAAATCAAGCTCATATCCTGAGCAATATAACGCTCTAAAATGTCCACTGAATTCGAGAAGTATACAAGGGTAGAATCATCCGCAAACAAATGTATTTTTCCTTTAAGCGATAAATTAGTTAATGAATTTATATAAATGAGGAATAGGGTTGGGCCCAATATTGAGCCCTGTGGAACCCCATAGTCTATGTTTTTCTCATCACTTTTTATGTTACCTATCTGAACAGATTGTCTTCTATCCCCTAAATAATTCTGGAACCACACATTTCCCACACCAAGCAATCGCAACTTTTTTAATAGCACATCGTGCCGTACTGTATCAAATGCCTTGCACAGGTCCAGCGACACCAACGCGCATTTTAAGTTTTTATCAAGGTTAAGCTGTATCTCAGTAATTAAGTCAATTGCTGCCGAGCTAGTGTCGCTAAACCTGCGGAAGCCATATTGAAAGTCTGAAAAAAATCCCACATTATTCAGATACGCTATAATTTGACAATTTACAATTCGCTCCATTATTTTTGAGAATACAGGTAAAACAGATATAGGTCTGTAGTTATTTACACAAAATTTATCTCCACCCTTGAATAGTGGAATTACTTTTGCTATTTTCATACCACCCGGAACTTGCCCATACTTAAGAGATTGGTTTATAATTTTACATAACACTGGTGCCAAGTCTTCTTTACATTTTTTTACTATTTTTACATCTATGTTATCAATGCCAGATGTCTTGGAAGAATCCAACCCGGATACTAATAAATTAAAACTAGAGTTGGCAAATGACCGGTCACATCGTGAATGTAACCGTCACTTATAAAGATTTATCTGTATTTTTTTTTAAGTAATAGCTTGCATCAAGAGCTTACAGTTCGACAGTATCGCTTCTACGGGTAAGACGTGCACATACAGCGCATTTTAAAACAAAAATATCTAAAAGGTTAAAAGTGCGAAGTGAATTACCACCCCACCTGTCGGAGCCACGGAACCACCCCACCTGTCGGAGTCACGGAACCACCCCACCTGTCGGAGTCACGGAACCACCTGAACAGGTGGTTCATCGCGGCAGGAACCTGGAAAAAACCAATTACGAGGGGACAAGGAACCATCTTGGAAATTTAGATAAGTATTTTAATAATAGCACCTGGATAAATCGGTAAAAATCAACAAGAAAGAACAATAAAAGAGTTGAACAGGGTTAACAAATCCTACATTAAATAGACCAAAGATACCGAATGCCAAGGCTAGTTCGACTTAAAAGTAAAGCAAGTCCTACTTAAAGTAGATACCTACTCTCCGCCGTATAGGACGTGACAAGTAGTACTTAATAAACACATAAATCTTAAGTAAGTTATCAAACCATTTTCTGATCTTTGCCTTAAATAAACAAACTGCGAGACCTTCTCGAAATTCAAAAAAATCAAATGTTAGAAGCAGTATAAAATAAATATAAATGCAATTTCTAATTGTTAAGTAAGAAAAGAAAACGTAAACACAATTTCTACCACAACACGAAAACAACGAATAACCGTTTTCAATAAATAGCTATTCTACTACTTAAATAGTAAAATTATACAAATTAAAATAAGTCACCAGTGAGTAAACAAAAACTATTCTAAAAAAAACTTTAAACCAAATCCACTATAACTGTTGCATTCGGTAAAATTTGTCTAATCATTAGCGACTGCCTTTCAACTGGGACAATGAGTCAAATAACCTATAACGAGTCATTTTTGAGTAATTTATTCTAAGAGAGTGGGGAAAGTAAAAACACCCGATGTAAAATTAACACAATACAGAGGCGTACTTAAACCACCACTCACAAATGGGTTATGGGTAGGACCGGGAACAATAACAGCACGATAATTGTTAGAAAAGAAAAAAACAAAACACAATTTCAACCACAAACGGTAACCTGCAATCACATTGTCGACTAAAGACTATCTATATCTATATCTCTAGAGCGAAGATATGGATTGCACAGGGAGGCAACCCGGATGAAATACAAGACCAGCAAAGATGTCCAAGCAATGTTCTAATAAACCAAGCCTCATTCATAAACCCCAATTGAAAATTACTAAAAACCTGGTTGAGGGGGAGTCCGGATTATACTTAGTTTTGGGTCAGTTTAAGGCCCCCAAAAAGCAAAATGTTGTCCCTCCTTGTCCTACACTCCACTAGCCTAAAACGGGCGTATGACCCGACCCATCGACACTGTCATCCACGATCTCCTAGGAAAGATTTACCTGCCGGGGTGAACATTCGGATCCACGAAACTCAGGTAACGCTGTGAAGTGGCGTGATACGTTGGAGAACCGAAAGGGGGTAAAATAACCCTGGAAGATCAGTGTAAGGCGTTGCAAATGGGGCCTGCCACACGTTCTTATACTCATACTCAATAGCTTGCATTAAGAGCTTTTTAATGATACCAAATACTGGTAGTTTGGTAATTAATTTGATTTAGTTATATATGGTTTTTGGTTATACAAGGTTTTTTAAACTACCTAGTAGGGTGCTCCATTTAAAACGAACATTATTTTTTTTTCGCTGACATGAAAATTTTGTTCCTTTTATACATTAATACATTAAACTGTTTATACCTTTTGGACTACGCACCTCAGAAATTCCATACAGGGGTATTTTTGTAGGAAATTTAATTTCCTACAAATTGTTCTCTGACAATTTTTTTATAACTTCAACTGTCAACGAAAATATAACAATTTTTGAGAAAATTGGGGTTTCGAGGTCGACACCGAAATACAAAAAAATGTTAGTGGGCACTTTTAAAGAGTCACTAATATACTTCAAATTCTGACTAATCGCAATGAAATCAAACAGAGCTATATTAATTTAAATTTAAAAAATCATGATTTACATGTTATTTAAATGGGAAATATACATCGATCTAAAGGCACCACTTAAAATTAAAATTAAGGACTCAAATTTTCAGGGAACTTTTTTTTCCATAAAAGAAATAAAATTTTCATGTATAAGCGAAAAAAAATGTTCGTTTTAAATGGAGCACCCTACTACCTACCCTATAAACAGGTTATAAAAAATCATTACTACTAGTTCGAACGGTGTTTAATACTGCAACGTCATCGGTCATGCATTGCCCACCGTTGTCGGGTGACGGCTGCATCAAACTTACAGCGTTCAAACCCTACTACCATGGGTTACCAATGCTAACTTACCATTTATTTTTGTTATTTCTATGCTTTTAATTAAAATACTTACATATAATATTACATAATATTGTATTCTAAAATAACAAAGGCATTACAATTGAAAAAATGAGTGGATAAAGGTGTTAAATTTTGTATAATAAATATCATAAATATATTTGTATTTACAAAATTTAAACGTTAATTACTTGTCTTTAACCCTTAATTAAGGGAGAAATGACAAGTAATTAACGTTTAAATTTTGTATACACACATGGACCCTAGAACACACAGAACATAACGTTATGTTCATTTATCGCCGACGGTGGTCGAGTGGTTAGTGCAGCTGACTACAAGCCGGAGGTCGTGGGTTCGAATCCCACCAGGGGTATGGCTGTTTATTTGTGTTTGTCCTATTGTGTATTAGTCCTTCGGAGGGGACTTTAAGCCCGCGGTCCGTTCCTACCCCTAACCCGCACAAGCCATTCAGTTGGCTTATGGGACTTCTTAAGAAGTAAGGGTGGAACTAAAAGAGCACTTTTATATAACGTTTTGTGCGTTTAATCTTGAGGTTAATATTTAACTTGAATCATTCAAGCCAAATTCCCTTGTTATTTGCCCGCGAAATTTGAAATTCAGTTGGTCACTTATGATTGTGGCGGTCATTTATGGTGGTCATTAATGAAAGTGACGCCCAACTCTAGTTAAAACGTTTGACAGATGTTGGATGTTATATAGAAGGCGACTATGAACATTTTGGAATAAGTTAATTTGCAACTACCCAATTGGTCCAAATTATTCTTACACTGAAACCGGTGATAGAACGCCAAAACGTTTGACAGATGTTGGATGTTATATAGAAGGCGACTATGAAAATTTTGGAATAAGTTAATTTGCAACTACCCAATTGGTCCAAATTATTCTTACACTGAAACCGGTGATAGAATGTAGGTAGGTAATTCCATGATACAAGTTTCATGGGTAATTCCACTGTGGAATATACAGATTAAAAAGTGATATTAGAACGTTCATATTCTGCAATAGGAGTAGAAAAACATAATTTTCTAATGACGCGTCGCACAGAGGTCATTTTATTTTTTGTAGAAATTAATAAATAAAAAAAACAATGTTCTCAAATAGTTTATTTCATGCTATAATATTAAAGAAAACATTCCAAAGAATAATATTTACGAAAGTTATTTTTTTTGCTTATTAGAGTTAGCCATTAATACAGTTGAAATATTAGTAAACAATTATTGACAACTTTGACTTAAGTTTCTTGATATTATGTTGTGTTGTTTGAAAGGTGTATTTCTGTTTTCTACTTTCAGTCTTTTAAATTTGGATTTTGTTATCTTAGAGAGCATAGTTAGGGCTTTAATATTTGATATAAAGTTTTTTAAAAAATATGCACATATGAAAAAAAGATAATGAAATGTTAATGCATGCATTTTTTACCATTTTTTAAAATTACATTAATTTTCAAAAGCTGCAAATTGTAATATTAAAAAATATTTGTCATAAAAATATTGTTTATGCTTAAATTGCTTTATTACCTTCTTGCTAATTACACATTTGGGTGCCAACAAGTGCCAGGTGCTTTAAAAAAAATATTTTTTAGGGACTATGTCAATAATTAAAAACGACGTGTTTGCCGCCTGGTGCGGGTCTCTAGCTTACTCGGAGATAAAAATTCGTCTGTTTTTAAATTTGGAAAACTCAACTTAAATAATGATCGACGAGATAATCAATACGATACGCTATAGCGGGAAAAATTAATAATTTTAACAGCGCTCTTGCCAGAATGTGGAAAAATTACAAACGGTCCCGAAAAGAAGCCAGACGGGAATGTTTACTTAAATAAATCCATAATTTTTATTAAAGTGTTAAATGTACCTGTACCTGGGTCCAGCAGAGGTAGACCACAAAAATTATTAAAGATTTCGGCAAGCTACGAAAAAGAAAAAAATAAATGCCATTATTGGATAGATCTCGGGAATAGTAAAATAGATATTCTACGGAACAGCTTACATTTGCTAATCGTAAAAGTCTAGAATCTGTAAGTCAACGAAATGCTACCATATGTTTTGGGGTCGCTAAAGCCGAATCCGGAGCCCGTTGAACCCCTTCAAGTCAGGTTTCCAAGATAACCTAAAATAACCTAATAATCCAAGCTAATAAGCCTTTTAAAAACCAAAAACTTTATAACCGAAGCTGTTTATTCACAATAACTTTTATATTGAAGCCCATTAATACGTAACCAAAGAACCCTACCCCAATAACCCCATAATCCGAATCCCAATAACCAACTAACTCAAGCAATTGAACCTATTATCACGCAATCTGTCCAAACCCAATAATCCTGTAACCGATTCGGTTAAACCGAAGCTGTCAAAAGTACTGCAAAAGCACTGCGACACTCCGCATTGAGTTATATTCATGGTACTATATGCCAGCGAGTCTTCACAAGATACTTATTCCCGGTCCAGAAATTATAAAGGCTGTGCCTCGTCCGATAGGCATGTTTTCAGAAGAACTCCTTGAATCTAGGAACAAAGACTTTTGGAATTATCGAGAATCATACTCCAGAAAATGTTCAAGAGAGGAAACTATAAAAGATGTATTTGTAGTCTACTGCTTTTGTCTGACACACTCATATCATCATTATCCAAGTGTATAGGTACTCGCTCCAATAAGCAACCCTTAATTAAAGAAGTTTTAAAATTGCTTTAAAAGCCTCAAATGAAATGGATGAAAATGAAAACATTAGTTATTCTGAAAATTCTTATCAAAAATTGTGCAATAAGAAGTATAATTATTACCTAGTTGATCTTTCGTTTTTTTGTATATACATTTTGGTACGTTTAAAATATGATTTTGTTAATATATTTATATTTATTAATTTGAATAAAAATTAAACACCCTGGTTATCAAATTGATTAAAAATAAATTTTTTAACGTTATTTGATTTACGAACAAATTAAAAAAAAATTGCTAATTACTTACTTAAAATATTTAATATTAATACTGAATTATTTATAAACACTCTGTATGTAGGCAACAACTGAAAAAGAAAAACTTAAAAAACTAGTTAATTAATGTATCTTAAGCTATTCACACAACTTAAGCACAGTTAAAACCTAATATTTTCATATTTGTATTTATTACCGCCTAATTTAACTTAAATGACCTCTGTGCGTCGTGACGTTTTAAAAATAAAAAGTAAATTTTTTAAATGTAACGTTTTTGCTAGTTCGACAGTGAATAATTGAATTGAAATTAATTTAAATTATTTGACTTTTAGAGATTCGTTAACGTTGGTTTACTCATTCTTTTACTCTTTCAACACCAGACCATAGAATAAATATACTCTCTAGAAGAGAGTATATTAATACTTGAACGGACTCCATAAATATTGGATAAAATAAAAAAAATTGTGCTATTATTTAATTAAAATAACTTATACTTACACATGTTGTTAGTACACTGGCAGCAGCTTTTTCAAAATTAAAATTCCTTACATATCTCATACTATCCGCTAGGAGAGTTAATACATACAATTCGCCACCTTTTAGAGATAATACCAAAGTATCATCTTCCAAAAATTCAACATTTGCGCAATCCATACTTATTTTTATATCATCTTGCGGTTCTAAAATATATATTTTTTTAAATACGTGCCACAATAATATTTTTTTAAACTTACTTAACGGAAAACTGGAACTACTTTCTGCAATGCTGTTCAGTGATACTCCATATGGAGGTATACTTTGATTCAAGTAAATTAAAGCATTGACCGAAAATATTAAAGTACCACCCAGTGGTTTTTTTATGGGAACTGCCATAGTACAATCAAATGGTAAATTTGATACACTCCAAATTACTGGATGAACTCTTTGTTGTAAATTTAAAGATATTGCTGCCATGGCACATGTATCAGTTCTTACAGCCACACGACTGAAATATAATTTTAAAGATTATTGAAATCAAATTAAATATTGTATTTATTACCCTGAGAAAGTTTTAAGAGGTTCATACAATATCAATAAAGTAGGTTCATAATAACCATGTAAAAACTGTATATCAATAATATTATCAATTTTATCCATGGTTTCTTTTAACAAAATCATATAGGAAGCTAAAATTGGTGCTTTTGTATTTGCAGCATTATTTGAACCTGGTTTAACATTCACTTTAACATCTGTCTCATTATCATCAATAGCATTTTCCCTTCTAAATGGTAAAACCACTAGTTTTCTACCAAATACTGTCATAACAGCACAACGATTTTCAGGATCTGCCCGTACAATTGGTACATGATGGTGGTGGGTCCAACCATCCTAAAAACAATATTTTATAGTTGCACTAGCCAACATACAATAATTATAATAAAAAAAGGTTAGATTTATATTATTTTATCTTCAAGAGTTCTTTAATTTAATTATTTAATTATTGTCAACGCTTACCAAAGTAAGAAGTGAGTCTCTTTGTGCTGAGCTCAAAGTTTGAAGTTCAACGCCTTAGCGGAGGCCTAGAATTGAGCGAAGCACAAAAAGACACAGCTCAATTGAATGGCATACACCATTTTATCTTTAAGGCACATATTATTTGTTAAACGATTTAGAAAACGTACTTACAATTATAATAATAATTATCAGAAGTATAAAGTGAGGTTAGATAGCATCAGATGTGTCAGCAGCACGGTCTTAGATACCGTGGTCAGCAGTTTTCGATTTCTTTATTGGTCATAACGGGTCTTTTACAGACTAGGATGTAAAAAAAAATCACCTGATTGATCTAAATCATTTTTACAGCCTAGAGATAATCAAATACTTTGGTAATTTTGTTTTTTTTAGGTTTATACCTTTCTACCTATTATCCAAATTATTATTATGTCACAAAAGATAAAATATCTTAAAAATTAATATTTAAGAAATTTTTGAAATTCGTAAAAATAAGTTGATGATGTTTTTAAAGTTAAACAAATATAATAAATAAAAAAATTACATAAATAGTATTTACGAGAGGAAAACTACAAGGCAAAATTTGTACACCCATTACGCAAAACGCGTAATACTTTCCAGGTATTACGTACAATTACCAAGTGTGCAATCTATTGTTTGGAAAGCGAGAGAACCTACCGTTAGTTATTTTCCTAACAAGTGCGCAAAGTTATATTTTTCCGCACGCTACTGCAATTCCACGAACGACGCTTTGCGGAACAATATTTTTTCTACAAGCAAGGAAATCTTGAAATTTTATTTTTTTGTAATACTATTGTCAAAAAGTTGTCTTTTTTGTTGACATTTAAGGGTCGGTCATTTTTGACAGTGCAAATATTAATTTTTTGCACTGCATTTATTCAGCACATACATACATACCTAAACTAAATAATTTTTATCTAAGATAAAAATTAATATAATTTTTTGTTATTATTATTAATAAAAACATTACAATTTATTCTTTGAGGGCGTAAATAAATTCAAAAAAAGCTTTAACACGCATGTCAAAATAAAATAATTGTAAATGTCAAAATTTTTTCTTTACATTTTTAGTAATTATTTATGAAAGTATTATGGTATTAGAAAAAATAATGTATGCAAAGCTACTTTTTTGCACTATGAGGTTTAATAATCCGGCTCCTTATAAAAGTTCCTCATGCATGCATATAACAAATATACATGCATACATGCAAAAAAGTGTCGCTTTTTATTCTTGTTGCATAAATTAATATTATCAGTTTCCATTTTTTACACAATTGTGCTTAAGAATGCGAAAAGTTGCTACTTATATTTTTTATTGAATTATTTTAGTTTTTAATTAAAAATACTATTAAAGGCTCCATGATTTAATAATCTTATTCCTGTATAAACGCATTTACGTACGCAAAGTTATCCTGCAGAAAAGTACAACTTTGCGCACATACATAAATGCCCGGGATAAGTATTACATTGCGCACGCGAGTAGAAAAAAAGCGTTACCCATAACATTGATTGTGCTTGACTTAGACAGACAAGAATAGCGATATCACTTGAAGTGAATCACTTCTCACTTTCATAGGACGTGAAGTCTCGTTTGCCAGAAATTCTTTTAATTATTAATTGAGGGACTTTGAATAAAAGGAGTGTAAGTGCAGCTGTCCTGTAGAGCAAAAATATCTTCTCTACAATATTAAGAAATAAAGGACAAAATGTATTATTTAATAATAATAATAATAATTTATTTTCCGAGCAAAGTAAAACACCAATAACAGAAGAAAAATATAAATACATATATTAAAAAATATACATTTGGATAGTTTGGAACAATTTGTGAAAAATAACATTTTTGTGACAAAACAGATAACCAATTTAACAGTTTAGTCAATTTATTTCAAAACGGAATAAAAGAGTTGTATAATCATGGAGCCTACACCAGGAGTTTAAACTCAAATGGGAAATTTAACAGAATTTACCTATATCGCACAAATTATGTTTCCTTTTTTCACTTCTTTCAGCGCTGAATTTCATATCAACGTGCCATATAGGATTATATATCAGGTATAACCTGTTTTTTGTTACATTGCTGTTATGTCATATTACTCTTGTCATTAGATTAAAAACAGCCAAATGCATATTACATCTATGTAAATGCTAAAAAGTTTTTCTGTGCCTAAATTTTGGTAAATCTAGCAATTATAAAAGTGAGTTTTACTTTTAAAAGGTGGAGAAACACTAAAATTCAGTTAAACATATATTAATTTTTAAAACATAAGTGGACTGTTACACATTTAATGTTTAAGACCAAAATTAATTTGTTAGTTTGTAATCGGCCTAGGTTAAAATATTCTGAATTTTTTATTAATACAAATATTGTCCAAAACATTATAATTTTGAACCAATTCTCAAGTTATTCAAAAAATAAGAAAAACTCAAAAATTAACCAGTGTTTTGTAGTACACTTTCAGTTAAATACAGTTTGAAATTCTCCATAGCTGGTTAAAAAGTGTATCTTATTCTTAATTATTTTTAACAATTGAACCCATGCATTTATTTATTCTGCAACCACTTACTTTCATTTCATCCTCTTCAAAATAATGCAAACTTAGAGTCCTTAAGTCATGGGATTCGGGATCGTATTCAACAACTGAAAGTTTGGCATCTGCAAATGCCAGCAATAGAGCATCCCTTGTGGAATTTGCCAATCGAACACTTTGCATTGACATAACATTTCCAAAAACTGAATACTGAGCCACACATTCTAACTTTGATTTTGGGGGCGAAAATTCTGTAAATAATCAAATTGTAGCATAAACCAAATATGTTTAAAACGCGTTTACCTGAATATCTTTCGCTTTTAGATTTTGAATCTACATCAGGAATTAATCGGAATATCTTAATAATATTCGCGGCAGCGGTAATTAAGCTTCTTTCAGTTTTATCAAAGAAATAACAGCTTAGGGCATGTTCGATGCCGGTAGCCGGGTGCGTTTGTTTGCAAATTGAAAACATGATAGCTATTTAATTATTTAAATTTTACAGTTTAAGATTATTTACCACATTTTATTCACATTGGAATAGCATATTATTTATTTATTTATTGAAAAACACTCTGAACATAACCTAAAACTTTTAGTTGGACAATTTTGCAGAAGATGTCGCTTTATAAATATTACTGGTTACTTTAATATTCTGCTGTTGGCTCATGGAAAACCGCACAGACAAAACAAACTCGAAGTATACTTAAACAATTTTAACATTGCATTTATTTATACATATACAATCAAAAAATTTAAACTTTACAAATCCATTTAATTACTGTGAAATTATATTATATATAGTTTCTTGTAATTAGGGAATATTGTGTTGGCTATCTTGTCTGTCAATTTGACAGTGTCAAAACGCCATATTACTTTTTTATGCCACAAAAAAGGTAATTGATTACATGGAATGCAGTTCAAACGACTTAATTATTTAAAAGGTGGGTTTGCAACATATTAAACTATTATTTTTTTTTATAAGAATGGTGATTTTGATAATTTAAATGTATTAAAATAATTGCTTAGTCGACAACTTATTTTATTATTTTATGCTGTTTTTGCATAAATACATAAATTAATAATGTATTTCGAAATCAAGCTTGTTTCCTTTAATATTTAATACGTATTTTTGCTAATTTAGTTCATTGATCTAAGTATTAGCTATAATTAGATTGACCCTTGCTTTAATGTAGTGGAACTGTGTTAAAAAAACTGACGTTTTGTTATAAATTGTGTTTATCCGCTTTTCCAGAATGACAACAAATCTGATGGCCAATGGAAATAAAGAAAAATGGGACCCAGGTATGACCCCCATGAATTTTTGGATTTAATTATTTTTTGTATGCATTTTTCTCTAAACAAATTTAAAGTTTTTGTTTACTTTGTATACCTACTTTACCTATTTACTTTAAAATAAAACCAAATCAATAAAGTTTTAATTGTTACAGCTCAATTTTAAACAAAAATTTTAAGTTTGTTCATTCAATATTTCTATTATTTTGTAGATTGATTTATTATTTTTTTACTAAATAAATTCAATTAATAATTATTTTATGATTTTATTTTTATGTTATTATGTTAATAATAGTTTTAGTTGACCTACTTACACTAATATTAATATCAATTTAAAGGTAAGTGTATACATTGTTCAAGAATGTTTTCTTGCACCATATGAGTGTATAAACCACAAAGCATTTTTTCCATGTTTTATTTAACCATAACATGTTTGTTTAAAAATTTTAAATTAAAATCACTTTATAAATTTGATTAGAATATGACGTTATCAACTTGAAATTGAAATGTTACTTTTTTGAGTTATAAATGGATTATCATATTTTTTAAAAATATCTTTGGTAAAATATCGATCATATTTAACAAATCCATATGCACATTGTTTAGATACCGTACTATTTACTTTTACTGATAATTACCCTCTTATATATGCCTGACAAGACAATTATCGCGATAATTGTCTACTAGAAATCGATAATTCCATTGTATGTACGTATCCATGGCAATTAATAAAAATAACGTCAGTTTTTATTTTAATGTGACAGTTATTTAAAATTTCACTTTTTGGTAAAGAATCATTTGAATCAATTAATTAAAATGTGAAAAATAGTGTACCAAAAAATACTGCAAACAACAAAAAATATTTGAAAATGTTATTCTTTGATTTAATTAGTTTATTCGTGTAATTATCTAAACAAATTACACTCGTGCATAAAAATAATCAGATAATTTTGCATTCAAGCATGCCGTTTAATAAATGCATTCAGTCATTTTCATATTTTGAGGAAAGAGCCAAAATATAAAAATGAACTCATGCATTTTTTAGGCAATATGCGCTCAAGAAAAATTATCGATAATTTTTAAGCACTTGTGTAATTACCCCCGATAATTTATCTGTGATAAAAACTTTTTTTAATTTGACATTTTAAATTAAATTACGTAAATAATTTGACATTTTAATTAAAATTACCTAGGTATATTATAAATATACCTATACACCCAGATAGCACAAAGGTATACTATGGACGTCCAATGGACGTATGCTCGTGGACGTCTGTATGTACATAGGATGTCCATTTTTTTTCTATGGACGTCCCATGGACATCCGTTTAGAGTCCAGATGTCACAACTTTGGACATCCATAAGTCGTCCACCGATGGACGTCTATAAGGTGTTTGAACCATTCCTCCAGCATCCAGGACCTGCTTTTTTGCTTACTTTAACTGTTTTTTGCGACTGTATTTTCATTGCGATGTTGCAGAAAATTTTCTACAACATGACTGAAATGCCTTTTGTCTGGCTCAGTAACAATAGACCTATCCCATAAAACAGACTTTTGGATAGCGCGTGCCTGAAGAAGAGTGGTATCTCTTTCTCTTTTATATAATTAAAAAAAGACGACGTGCCTTTTCACGCACGCGCTATCTAAAAGTCCGTTTTATGGAATAGGTCTATCCCACTATAGTGGGATAGGAATATAAATATAGTAAATTTAAAAGTAAACTACGTACACGTCATCAATCAGCTGATCGGGCACGGTTGTCAATGTGATGCTAAAATCCTTGCATCAAGGGCAAGTGGTAGTGCAACTACAGGGCGATAGATGGCGTTTACATGAATAATACCAAAATGTCAAAAGTCTGAGTTTTTATAACCTATATGATGCACCGCCAAAAGTATGTTTTTAGCCATTTTTAAAGACATTTTCTGATATAAAACCCAAAAATTTTGCCATCTAAAGTCAGTCTCTGGTATATATATTATTATTTCATGTATCCAACATATATTTTGTTAAATATTCTAATATATAATTAATAATAATCCTATTTACCTCTCTAACAGCTGTTAAAGGTAACAAAGGTCCATTATTATCCCGTTCTGCCTCAAAATAGCGTATTAAGGATGACACCAACTCTTGACTCCGACTATTTAAATGCTTCGGCATTTTAAATATAGGAAACACAAAAAAAACGATATATAACAAACACAAAAACGGCAATGAAAACTTAAACGATATAAAATAACACAAACAACAAACAAAATAAACGAAATAATACACGAATTAAACGAAATATTCAAAAACACAACTGACAGCTTCGAAATTCTAAAACGTCAAATTCTTTTTTATGTGTCATTTAAATATGAAAAATTTTGAATGTAAACATGACAACATCACAATTGTTGCCAACTTAATTTGGTTCAAATGCATTCAAATATTCAATTACAGACTTCGATTTAGTCATTTAGTGTTGGTACCAATGCGTAAAATTTTTGTTTTATTAATGACGTGTACGTAGTTTACTTTTAAATTTACTATATTCTAAAAGTTGTTAAAAGTTGCAACATTCAATGTTGAACATTGCAGGAAATCCTTGTATTCGACTCAGGAACATTACATTTGCAAAACTACAAGCGTTTAACATTTCATTGATAGCTTAAGTCCTTTATAGCACGCGCTTGCTTGAATGTCAGTGAGATTGATCATAACTGTTGTTATGCAGCCAACAATACGTTTTAACTTGCATTTCTCTAATAATAATTATGGACGTAAAATGGACACTATATGGACGTCCATTAAAATCGTACAAAGGATGTAAATATACGGACGTACATAGTACATCCATTTTTAGTCCGTGGACCAATGTACTATGCTCCACACTTCAAAGTCCCACCACCTGACCAGGTACGGAACGCAGTCTTTTGAAAATTTGTCATTTAAGGCTTTTCAGGTTATGTATCTGTCAAAGTATATTCAATGAAAGAAATAATATTTAAACTGTTACCGACGGTAACTTACCGTTTATGTTTAAGCGTTAAAAGTTTATAAATCTTTATAGTATCACAGTAACAATGGTTGGTTTAAGAGTTTAGGAGTATAAATACTGCATTTAATGAAATTCTAAAGAATATAGTGCCAAATAAGTAAAATTTTTGTGCATTTGGTCTACATAATATGTTAATATATTATATCTGGTTTTATCCATAAAATAGTTTTAAATAAACGGCATTTACAAGTACCTATAAAAGCTTCGACAAAATTTTATCTACCTAGAACAATCATTAGGTATAAATAAACTTATCTAATATTTTTACTTGTAGTAGTCTTTCTTATCCAGCTTAAAGTATACCTACATAAAGTTTTGTCAATACAATTACGTATAAAGCTTCAACTGAATTTTATATTCATCGAAAAATCATTATAACTTTTAAAAATTTCAAAAATCACATGTTATGGGAGTATAAAATATTTTTACATTGCATGTATCTCTAAAAATTGTTTGTTTCCTTATAATCTAACTTAAAGTAGGGATCCCGAGAGGTATACACAAGTTTTGTTGTTAGGAGTATAAAAGCTTTAATTTAATTTAAACCATATTCAACAATTATTTAGTATATCTATATTTATATGACCATATTAACACACTCTTCCAAATAATCCAAAATACTTATTTATTTTGATCAAAATAGATTTTTCTAACCTTAAAATTTCAAAATTAGATGAAATTTTAGTCGTTTTTTCGCGTAAATACCATGAAATACTATGGTTATTAAACTTAACCTTGGTTAATAGTTAAGGCATTTTTGCGTTTAGAGTGCGTTCAAAAATCCTAACTATGACGTCACAAATACCAGACCATAAAACTATATCGCTAGTTATTCAACGTGGTTAATAGTCCTTCTCTTTTTAATAAATATTTTTCTCTGTTTCGATCTGTCAAAAAGTTGTTTACATTTGAAATTTAAAATATTTTAAGTAGGTACAATTGCTCTTAAACCGAATTTAAACTTTGTATTAAAATGATAAACGGGGTGTTGTCAGTCAAAATAAATGATAGGGTGCTCCATATTGTGGAATCTCCACAAGTGGAGGAATTATATGCAGGTTTTTTTATATTTTTCCTTGGATAACGTGTATTGAAAAAACTAGTACCTATAGAAAAAGAATATACTAGGTATAAGAAAAGGCTAGAAATTTATTTACACCGGTAAAAGCATAGAAATTAAATATAAATGGGTAAAAACACATTTCAAAAATTATAGGTTACGAACAAGTAAACAAATGTCAAATGTTAGAAACCTAACCATGGTTATATGAATTAACTGTGACGTCATGACTTATTTAACCGTAGTATTACATAGTATTTACGCGAAAAAACGACTTTTTTGTTATAATATATTACGCTGTGTCTAGTCTCACGCTAGCGTGAACGCAATTTAATTTATATTCTCACGCTAAAGTCAAAATAATTTTAATTTTATTCTCACGCATTATTTTATTTAATTTTACTTTTTAGGTGTCGTGTCATTTGATTTGATTATGCAAATGTAATAAAATTTACTAATAATAAAATCGAGACTCTTTTACTGCAGCCAAACCAACCCAAACTCAACAACACAACCCAACCGACCCCGCCCCATTGGGCACAACAACAAATTTATGAAATAAAAAAATAAAAAAAGTTCTTGGAATCGAACCCGGGACCTCTCGCATGCCAAGCGCCCGCCCTACCATCGGAGCCATCTAGCTTGTTGTCAAATATTAAACGCTCTGGGAAGAAAACCGGATTATAAATAGTGACGTCACCGCGTGAGAATAAGAATAAAATTGCGTTCACGCTAGCGTGAGACTAGACACAGCGAATATATTAACCTACCTTTGATACAGATATTCTTCCCACACGGAACAATTACATCCAATGGATATCCAATGGATTTCTTTTATGGATATCCAGGATATACATAGGATATCCGGGATATCCAATGGATAACCATTGGATATATAAATGTCC